GTTTCTTTGCCTCATGGGAGAGTGTTGTAATATTCTTCAGTAATTCATGTTTTATTTTTTGCAAAAGCTAAAATAATCAAAGAATAGTCTAAGTTATACAAATCTCAAAACTATTAAATTATATATATCTGTTATAAGTTTTGCTGTATTAGAATATTAGAAATATCTGTTGGTAAAAGGGAAGAAATATTTATACCTTTAAAAGAGATTTGCTTTAAATCCAAATACCAAAATTCGTCTTGTCTCTATTTTATCTTCTTCTCTTTTGTTCAGGTGTTGAATAGTTTATATCCAGCCACTCTTTGTTCAGATGTTGTGTCTCTGTTTGTCTCCAGTGCGCTGAGAGCAGAGAAATCATTTCCATAGAGAGGAGGCTTTGCATGGTCAGCTGATCCTCCAGGGAACTGAGAAGGTTTATAGTCCTGAGAGTTCAACACTGCAGGACTGTGATCTATCAGTCAAGCCAGCAGAAACAACAAGAACCATGACTCTCATCTTCATCCTCATCTGGACACTGACCTGCTGCTGTTTTACAGGTTCATTCCCTCAGCAACATTTCTAACATGATGTGCTGCTTTTACTCTCATGCCTTTCTGCTGATAAATGAAGGATTTGTTTTTGTCTGCAGGATGCAGCGCTCAGGTGACTGTGACTCAACCTCCAGTGGAGACATTTACTCCAGGATCGACTGTCACTATTCAGTGTACAACAAATCCTGCTGTTTTAAAATATGATGATGGTGATGATGCTTTGTTCTGGTATCAGCAAAAACCAGGACAGCCTCCAAAGCTCCTGATAAAATACGCAAAAACGCTTCATACAGAAACACCAGATCGGTTTGGTGGTAGTGGAAGGAACTCTGACTTCACTTTGACCATCACTGGAGTTCAGGCTGAAGATGCAGCAGTTTATTACTGTAAGAGCATACATATTATAGCAGGCTCATGGGTCTTCACACAGTGATTTTTAGCTGTACAAAAACCTCCCTCAGTCAGACTGCAGACACACTGAGCTGTTAGAGCAGAAACTGACTGCAGCTGCTGAGGAGAAAGAGACCCTGATACAGACCACTGAACACAGAGCTGACAGAAACCTCACCAAGCACTAAGGTCACTTACAATAGATAACATTTATAATTTAAAGATGCCTGAGTTGTTTACCAGTAAATGTCAACATTAACCTAAAACATACTCAACTGTAGGTGAGTATTGATAAACTCCAACTAAAGATGGCGTCGAAGGAAGGAGTTTTCCCTGCAACTGGAGGGATGTTGGTTCAAGACCTGGTTCCGACTTTCAGCGTCATTGTGTCCCTGGGCAAGACACTTCACCTGCATTGCCTACTGATGGTGGTAAGAGGGACTGGTGGCGCCAGTGTAGCCGTGCTTCTGCCAGTGAGCCTCAGGGCAGCTCTGGCTATTCAATTCAATTCAGTTTATTTATATAGCGTCAATTCACAACTTGTCATCTCAAGGCACTTTACAATTCAACCAGATCATACAGTGAAAATGCTTCAAAGGTCTCTATCTAAGTAAAACCAGTTAATTGCATCGACTCATTGACTCAAAGGCAATTCCTCACACCAAACATGCTTACAGTGACAGGGGAGAGGAAAAACTCCTTTTTAAATAAAGGAAACCTACATCAGAACCAGGCTAAGTGTGGGCGGCCATCTGCAGAGGCCAACTGGGGTTCAAGGACACAATGTAGTTTGTCACCATCAGTGAGTGAGTGTGTGGGTGAATGAATGAATGTAGTGCAAAGCGCTTTGGTCAAGTCTCCTGACTTGAAAAAGGCCTGTACAGGCCATATACCATTTATAGAGTTAATCTCATCAGCCACTTGCACAAACTTGATATACAGGCTAGAAAGATAAAACCTTTAAACAAAGTCTGGCAGTAATACTAGAACGCATGGATAGCTACATTAAAGGGGGAAATTATATCTGTAGGATCAAAGTTAGAGAAAGACAGACTTACATGATACATAATATTTAGGACATGCTTACAATTCCTGCTATACTTTATATTTTATGTCAAAATATATACTTTATATACAAATATGAAAAAAATCTTTGGATGCCAATCCTAAGCAGCAAAAAAACCTGATTAAAAAATTAAAATGTCCATTAAAAAGAAATTCTAAATTCTATAAGAAAATTTTTGTTTAAACTAAACACTGAAAGGCTCTCAGGGCATCAGGTCATATAATATTTTTAATATTTTCACTATTTAAATTTTTCTCTTTTTGATTTCACTTCCTAAGATTGTTTTTTCCCCAGGATTGTAAATTCTTAACTGAAAAACCAAACATGGAACAAACTCCTTGGTTCTGTTGACATCATGAACAAGCAGTTGAACAGGAGAACCACAATCAAGAAGTCCGATATACCGAATTCAATCAGTTTTATTGTGAAAAAATGTTGTTATAAAGTCTCCTGGGTTTCTAAACACACACAAACCAGCCTTGAATATACTAATGGATCTGCAGGGCGACACGTCACATTCTGACCAAGACTGTTGAAAAGTAAACACAAATATTTACTCCTTATTCCACTATTGTACTTCTTTGATCGTTTAAAATGCCAAAAAAAATCCAAACATTCTTGTTACTTTTTTGAAGTACAAAAAGTATCTATTAAGATTTATGAAGTGATTTTTAGAGCATTAGATTATAGATGAATTATCGTCTATAACGTGTTTAAATTTATGCTGAGTTTGTTACATTGTCTGTGTATTGTGTAATGTCTTGTACCTTTAACATCTGATAATATGAATACATATAAATATATATTGGTACTTCATTGTAGTAACTAACAGCGGGGAACATTCTTAAAATCTGTGTTTTTCTTTATATTCAGTTTTTATCTACACTGTGTGCAGAATTATTAGGCAAATGAGTATTTCGACCACATCATCATTTTTATACATGTTGTCTTACTCCAAGATGTACAGGCTTGAAAGCCAAATATCAATCAAGTAAATCAGGTGTTGTGCATCTCTGTAATGAGAAGGGGTGTGGCCTAATGACATCAACACCCTATTTAAGGTGTTCTTATTAGGCAACTTCATTTGCTTTGGCAAAATGGGTCAGAAAAGAGATTTGATAGACTCTGAAAAGTAACAAAATCGCAAAATCAAGTGGTTCATGGCAAATAGCCAACAGGGGTGCAAGAAGCGTGTTGAAAAAAGAAAACGCAAAATAACTCCCCATGAATTGAGAAGGATCAAGTGTCAAGCTGCCAGGAAGCCATTAGCCACCAGTTGTGGCATATTTCAGAGCTGCAACATGTCTGGAGTGCCGAGAAGCACAAGGTGCTCAATACTCAGGGTACTGGCCAGGGTAAGGAAAGCAGAAAAAAAGGCCACCTTTGAACAAGACACACAAGACAAAACTTCAAGATTGGGCCAAGAAATATCTGAAGACTGATTTCCCCAAGTTTTGGTCTGAGGAAATGAGAGCGAGTCTTGATGGGCCAGATGGATGGGTATGAGGCTGGATCAGTAAAGGGCAGCAAGTTCCTTATCGACTCAGACACCAGCAAGGTGGAGATGGGGTACTGGTATGGGCTGGTATCATCAAAGATGAGCTTATGGGACCTTTTCAGGTTGATGATGGAGTCAAGATCAATTCCCAGACCTACTGCCAGTTTCTGGAAGACACATTCTTTAAACAGTGGAACAAGAAGAAGTCGCCTTAATTCAAGAAACACATGATATTCATGCAGGACAATGCTCCGTCACACGCATCAAAATACACCACAGCCTGGCTGGTCAGAAAAAGTCTAAAAGGAGAAAAAAAAATTACGTGGCTCCTTTGTTCACCTGATCTGAACGCCATTGAGAACCTGTGGTCCTTCATGAAATGTGAGATCTACACGGATGGAAAACAGTCCACCTCTCTGAACAGTGTCTGGGAGGCTGTGGTGGCTGCTGCACAGAATCTGGATCGCAAACGGATCAAGACACTGACAGAATATATGGATGGAAGGTTGTTGAGCATCATGGTGAAGAAAGGTGGCTATATTGGTCACTTATTTGTTTTTTGTTTTTTTGAATGTCGCAAATGTTTATTTCTGAATTTTGAGTTGTTATAATGATTTACCTGGTGAAAATAACCAATTGAGATGTGTATATATTTGTTTTTTATTACGTTGCCTAATAGTTCTGCACAGTAATATTTACCTGC